TGGCAAATTATGACCTCCCCTTCATATTTCATAACCATAAGTTTTACTGTAAGTTTTAACCCAGGTTCACTGAGAAGTTGTGGAAGAGTTATAAAATGTTTTTAACCAATTCGGAGGGTTTCACTTTCACCTACGTTTACCGAGAATTTTAAACCCGATGATCTAAATCACTCAAGTTCACTGGGAACTTTAGGCCCAATGTCGGAAGTTGTAGAAGAACTTTAAGAAATGTATAACCAAAATTTAGACCAAATGGTAACGTAAATTTCCCATTCTTCTGATTGTGTAGCCTTACAGGTTATATTTGCAAAATATTTTAAAACAGGGACAAAGTATAAACAGTGGCCCCAAAAGAAGCTATTTGTGCACTTCAACCTCTGCTTTCTTCTTTAATTATTTTATATTGGGATTAAGGCCTAAAGCTGGAAAATTAATTTACTTTTATCATGGGGATGACTCTCTCAATTTGGATTAGATATTTTAGTGGGGGTGTTTTTAACCCTTTACATCCTAAATTGTAGAAGTAGGATGGTCTATGTGTATGGTAGAGTATTTTAGACAATAAATGGGCTGTCAGTGGGAAAGGTGTATGATGGGTGTCAATAAATACTTAATTTTGGTAACAGTTGCTGTCAACTCAACTATCTCCAATAAAATAAAGATTGAACCATAACTCCATTGCTACTACAAGTGGTCTTCCGTCGGAAGGATTACATGTTGCACTTTCTCTTCTTTCTTTATAGTTGTAGGAAAACCACTACTCTTTTTAATTAATCAAAAAATGGGTAGTGTCACCTCAACTGAATATAGAATTCAAAGTAAATGATGCTTTTTGTTTGAATAGTGGCTTTAGAAAATATTTTATGAGGTCATGGTTCATGAATGTTCAATATACTTACCATTTATAACCATGAATTCAGGCGATCATGCCAGATAGACGCTGCAAATGTTATATTTTACATCCTCAGTTGTTGCTATCACCTAATGTGACACATATCTCTACTTGGTCACCAATCATTATCAAGCTGGTGTAAACAGAGTTAATTCAGTAGTCAACTTTAAACAATAGAGGGAAGTATGAAAAAGCAAATGCAGAAAGTAATAGTAGACCAATTCCAGCCGCATCTATACAATTTCCAGCCAAGCTGTTTTTGTTCTTTCTTTCATCATTACTCTATATGGAGTCCATCTTATTCTTTCTCATTGTATCTTTGTCCATTAGTCCTGTCTTTGGATTTACCTTGACAGAATTTGTCTATCCCAACTTTACTGCTTCCAATCTCCAATTTATCGATAGCACTGGAAGTTTCTTGTTTTCTCGCAATGGAACGTTCAAAGCTGCTATCTTCAATCCCGGTTCTGAACAAGTTAAGTTTTATTTGTGTGTTATCCATGTGGAATCCAATACCATTATCTGGTCAGCAAATGGTGATTCACCTGTTTCGAATTCAGGAGTTATGATGTTGACTAAGAATGGTATCAACATTACTGAAAAAGATGGCAGCTTTAAATGGTCAACTCCACCATTAAAGTCAGCAGTATACGCGATGCAGCTAACTGAGGCTGGAAATCTCCTTCTTCTTGATCAGTTTAACGGGACACTTTGGGAAAGCTTTAATCATCCGACAGATACAATTGTTATTGGACAGAAGTTGCCTGTTGGCGTGATGCTTTCTAGTGCAATGTCAGGTGATGACTTGTCAAAGGGTCATTACAGGCTTTCTTTGACTGATTCTGATGCTATTTTACAGTGGCAAGGTCTGACATACTGGAAGTTGTCCATGGAGACCAAATCTTATACTAATTCAAATTATGAAGTGGAATACATGGCTGTCAATCAGACAGGTCTGTATCTTTTTGGTCAAAATGGTTCTGTAGTTGTGATAATGGTGAACTTGTTAAAATCCACTTTTCGAATTGCCAAGTTGGATGATTCAGGCCAGTTTATCGTTAGTAGTTTTGATGGCGCTGACATTAAACGGGATTTTGTTGCGCCAGTAGATGGGTGTAGAGTACCTTATGTTTGTGGAGGGCTTGGTGTATGCACCTCCGATGTGTTATCAGATAATCCTATATGTTCCTGTCCTGCTAATTTCAATCTTAGATCACATAATTCAACCAGCTGTGTCCCTACTGACAGTTCTTATTCTTTGCCAGTTTCTTGTAATTCCACCAACTATAGCAGTCCATCAAATTCTTTCTCTGCGTCATACATAAGACTTGGCTTCGGTGTGGACTACTTCACTACTGATTTTACCATGCCCTTCAGGTATGGGGTAAATCTATCCATGTGTCAAAATCTCTGCTCAGTAGACTGTTCATGCTTGGGGATATTCTATGCAAACTCATCTGGTTCTTGTTATAAACTTGAAGACGAATTAGGGTCAATTATGGTAAGGACAAGTAATAATAATCTGTTGGGATTTGTTAAGATCTTGGTTGGAGCTTCAACAACCTTTGGGGATAATAATAATTTTGATCAGGAAACTGTAAGCTTTCCTTTAGTTGCAACAGTGCTCTTACCTTTCACTGGAGTCTTCCTTCTGATGGCACTGGGTTTCATATTGTGGAGAAGATCTCGACCAGAACAATTAGGGAAGATAAAATCAAAAATAAGCCAACCTAATTCTCCTTCTTCAGAGGACCTGGATGCCTTTTCCATCCCAGGATTACCTGTAAGGTTCGAGTACAAAGAGCTTGAGGCTGCAACTGATAATTTCAAGATTCAGATTGGGACAGGAGGCTTTGGTGCTGTATATAAGGGTGTGCTCCCTGACAAAACTCTTGTTGCAGTAAAAAAGATAATAAATTTGGGCATCCAAGGACAGAGAGATTTTTGCACTGAGATTGCGGTCATTGGCAGTATTCACCATATAAACTTGGTCAAGTTGAAAGGTTTCTGTGCTCAAGAGAGACAACGCCTATTGGTTTATGAATATATGAACCGTGGATCGCTTGATCGCACTCTGTTTGGTAATGGACCTGTCCTGGAATGGCAAGAACGGGTTGAGATAGCTCTAGGTTCTGCTCGTGGACTTGCATACTTGCACAATGGCTGTGAACAAAAGATCGTCCACTGTGATGTAAAGCCAGAGAACATTCTCTTGCATGATAACTTTCAGGCAAAAATATCTGATTTTGGCCTCTCCAAGCTTCTAAATCATGAACAGTCCAGTCTATTCACAACAATGAGGGGAACTCGTGGCTACCTTGCTCCTGAATGGCTCACAAGTTCTGCAATCTCAGAAAAAACTGACGTCTACAGCTTTGGAATGGTACTCCTTGAAATTGTAAGTGGAAGGAAAAACTGCTCTAAAAGAACACAAAGTCACAGCCTTGATGATACAGCCACTGGAGATCACTCATCATCTTCATCTGCACAGGGACTTGTGTATTTCCCTTTATTTGCATTAGAGATGCACGAGCAAGGAAGGTACCTTGAACTTGCTGACCCAAAACTTGAAGGGCGGGTCAGTGGTGGAGATATCGAGAAGTTCGTGCGGGTTGCATTGTGCTGTGTCCATGAGGAACCAGCTCTCAGGCCAACTATGGTTAGTGTGGTTGGCATGTTGGAAGGCGAGATACCACTGACTGAGCCAAGAATGGAATCTCTAAACTTTTTACGTTTCTACGGGCGACGTTTTGCTGAGGCATCAACCATGGAAGAAGCTGGAGGCCAGATTGATGTCATGTTATATCCTCAAGCAAATACTTCTCATACAACCTCTAGGAGCATCTCTAATGCATGCTTCTCTTATATTTCGTCCCAACAGATCTCGGGTCCAAGATAGAGTCTAGCTGGTGCTACTTGATTTTATAGAAGTGGAGTGCAGATAATCTGTAAATTGTTGTCCAAATGTATATTAGGTTACTCATAAAGAAACATGAATATTGAATTTCTACCCAAAAGGGAATGCATTCCATTCTTAACTCTTGGTTCAAGCTTGTTTAGATACAGCAAACGGATAAGGGTTTGATTTGCCTCTCTACTATCATAAATAGGCCTTATTTACCCTCCATTTAAATTTTTTATCAAAACTATCCTTACCGTTATACATTAGGTTCATATTTACCCCTTACATGTTAAAACGGGTTATATTTGTCCTTCGTTATACTTTAGGATCATATTTACCCCTCTACTCTTCAAAATCATATTTATCTCTCTACTCTTCAAAAAGGGTTACATTTGCCCTTCGTTATACTATCCTTCAGACTGGTCCTATCTGAATCTCATATGGTGCACTCGTTGGAAATCCAACTTTACCAGCCAAAGGAATCAAATGTGATTTTTACAGCATCCGTGATTTAACATGATTGCTTATGCTCACGAAGTAATATGTGACAACATCTTGCTGAAATTTCAGCCTAAAGATGTGGCCAATTATAATGCCTTTTTAAGGTTCAGACGGCTGCTAGCTTTTCCTTTTCTACTTCAGCCTTTATTATTAGTCAAGAATTCAGAGTTTAAGTTCAGTTTGTCCAGATCACCTTTGCACCATTACTAAAGTTTTCTTTATGTGGCAAATACCTCATCCTGTCTACCCACGCTATTTAAATACTAGACATTAGCAATTCCCATATCTACTTGTTTTCTTTTCCAAACTATAAATTCCTTTTTGGTCTTAGATACAGGCTAAAAGTAGTATTAAGCACCAGTCTGATGAGTGAGAACATATTGGAAGTTTCATTATAGCATAAAACTGATTCTTTGTTTGCCTCTCACATCAGTATCTCTGATACTTTAAATATATATTAATAATCAATCTTAAGTTTCTGCTTCTCTACTTAGAAAACGATGTTGTCTACCACAATAAATTGTTCTTAATTCCCATTATTTACCTGCCATTTAGTTCTATTTATTGGAAGGGCAAGGGTGTGACTTTCTGTGTGTGCTATTAGACTCTTTTTCAGGTAAGTCGTGTATTTCTGCTTATTCATTGTAAACTTCTTACCTGTGGCAGCTTGTCAAAAACTCATTCTTGAAGAATGAACGCACATTCTTGAGGAAGATTGTTGAGATGATTCTGGCTTTAGCACTAGAGGGAAAAATCTCAAAAATGGAAATCTTGAGTGCTTATTTGTGTAAGGTCAAGCACCTCTTCATTCGTTGCTATCTTAACTTCATTCATAAATTACTTCAGGGACTGGAAAATAAATGCATTTTGCTTTTGTTTCTTTCTTCAGATTAATTTATTTTTTCTTAATTCGTTTACGGTCGGTTGTGGCTTGGGATGAGAAAAAACTGAGGAATGCAAAATGACCTTTCTTGGTAAATACATCGACTAAATGAGATGGATACAAATATCATGTTTGTCCCCCCATGACATGTCCTGTAATCTATTTTGGTTTTCTTATTGTTATGCGTGAAAATTTAACAGAGCCTATGACAAACCAGATATATTGGGGACATGGCATTTATGGTATTCAATCTGCATCAAAATTTTATTTTGGGAAGCATATATCTCTTCTTAGCTTGGGGGAATGTGCTATGCTTGCAGCAATGATACCAGCGCCAGAACTCCGGTCACCGTTCAGGGATTGTAGCAGGTTTTGTAGCTCATATAACTTTGTTACTTACTTTTTCCTTGGCGAACATAGCTTCTTCTGGTCCTGACTGCTTCTGCTGTTCTAATGGGGTACTTCTGCATTTTATTTCTTGTCTGAAAATATAAAACCTTGGTGTGATGTCCTTAGAGGAAAGACCTTCCAAGCTAGAGTGCTGAAAAGGATGGTGGAATTTGGATTTCTTGATGTCGAGATGGCAGGCATTGCTGTAAAACAACCTCTCATATTGAATTCTGGATGCCCAGATCATTCAGATGGGTTGTTGGTTATATCGACTTCCTCTCGAGAGGTAAATACAATTTTTTTTAATCCCAGTCTTATTTCAATTCTGATCTGAAATTTTGAGTCAGTTGGTGTGTTTTTCCTAGTAAGAGAGGGTTGTTCTAGTGGTGAGCACCCTCCACTCCCAACCAAGAGGTTGTGAGTTCGAGTCACCCCAAGAGCAAGGTGGGGAGTTCTTGGAGGGAGGGAGCCGAGGGTCTATCGGAAACAACCTCTCTACCCCAAGGTAGGGGTAAGGTCTGCGTACACACGATCCTCCCCAGACCCCACTAGTGGGATTATACTGGGTTGTTGTTGTTGGTGTGTTTTTCCTAGTAAGAGAGGGTTGTTCTAGTGGTGAGCACCCTCCACTCCCAACCAAGAGGTTGTGAGTTCGAGTCACCCCAAGAGCAAGGTGGGGAGTTCTTGGAGGGAGGGAGCCGAGGGTCTATCGGAAACAACCTCTCTACCCCAAGGTAGGGGTAAGGTCTGCGTACACACGATCCTCCCCAGACCCCACTAGTGGGATTATACTGGGTTGTTGTTGTTGGTGTGTTTTTCCTCCTCACAACTCAATGAGAAGAAGCAGCTTTGCCAAATCCATACAACATCAAAGTTATTCAGTTACATCCATTAATTGAGTTTGTTATCATGATCATTTTTACTCTTTTAGGCACCCTGAGAAAAGCTTTTAAACATTTAAACTTATCAAATTGGCCCAGGAATTAATACCCACATCTAGCGTTGACTACTCCAAAGACAAGTTCTTCAAGCAAGTCTGCTGGTTGATCGAGCTAGTTTCTGATTTTCTTTGTCTTGTTTATGGTGAATTTATCATATAGCATTCAGGTATGAACACAAAGTGCGACAGAGGTTTATTCTCAACCATCAAGAGAATATGGGATTGGGAAACAGAAAGCAAGATATGGGAAGTGAAAGAGGACATGGAGAGATGGGCAACTGGTGTAAAACGATTGGGAAGCATCAATGGTTCCAAGTCCAAATCAAAAGAAACTTCTTTTCATGATCAGACGTAAGAGATCTCTTCCAACGTTCTATATGAATTGTAGAAATGGTTGATGAGTTTCAGATTTGATTATCTCATGCTAGTTGGTTAAAGTACTTGTGTGTGGCAGTGATTTTTCATAGATGCATTAGAGAGAAACAAAACAAAGTTAACTGTTACTTTGGTCGTCAAGATATAAAAGTTCATTCCTATCTAAAAGAACTTGATTACCAAAACATGTAAAACTGAATGTTTTGGCCATAAAGTTTGTTTGTACTTTGTAGTAAGTGCTTTCGGGTATTTATCAAACACTGTAAAAGTACTTCCAAATGTTAGTACAGGCACCCTAAGTACTCTCTGCAAAGCGATTTGCTTATTTCTTGGTGATTAAGCTTATTGAATGAAATAGGGTCTTTGTAGATTGATAATAGTGAGTCTTACCACAAATGTGATGGCAGGTGTGAGGCCAGGAAAAGGGGACCATTAGCTCATGACATCATATGAATTGATGCAATGACACTATCCATAAAGATAATTCGAAGACTTTGGAAGGAATTCCAAAATGGTCCTAGAAGAATTAAGAGTCAGGCCTTTTGATAGCCAAAGATCCCAATAGAGGGACTTTGAATACAAGTTCCTATATGAAAATGCTCTCTAACTTCTGAAATGTGTTGCATTCATTGCTTTGCTTAGAGCTTCCCCCCACCCGTAGCACTAAACTATTCCAAGCCTTGCCTCACCCCATTGCCATGCCCAGTTAATTGACTATTATGTCTTTCATAAATGGGCATGATCATATTAGATCTCAAACCAATCTATTGAACAAGGATAGCTCTCAGTGGAGTCAGGAGCCAACCAAGCTTTTGAATCTCTGAAGGCTGTTGTAACCGCAGTGCCAGCAGTGTTGACCCTCCCTGTTTTCTCTCAAGAGTTCGTTTAGAGACCGAGAGATGCTTCTGGAAAATAGAAAGGAAATTGTTGCTGCCTTGATCCAGAAAGGAGATGTCATTGCCTAGTTCAGCAGAAGGAAGCCTTATTAGTGTGTTAGAAAGGGCTACTACCTATCGTTGCAGATGCGCAAAGCTGGAGAATAGGAAGACACTCTATCATGAAGACTAAACACAACCGCCTAAAATATCTCCTTGATATATAGTCAATTCAAACATCAACGCGGACTATGCAACAATGGCCATTAAGACTGACTTTCACTTCACAGTTGACTGTAAAATATCATTCTTTCATCATTTGATGCTTCTTTTCAGCTGACATAAATGTAGTTGAGGTTTCTTAGATTTGCCATTGGGATTTGTAGCACCAAGCATTTGATGAAGGAAAGACATGTTATTTTTAGGTTGATCACTAGGCACAAGCATTTAGCAATCAAGAATTTGTCGTATGCCTGTATCTACCTATTCAAGGTTGAAGGTCTAACATTAGATGTGCAATAACAAGTCGCCCTTATCAATGTCTGGCATGAGTTGTATTACAATGTTTCAAATTGGTCAAACAAATAGCCGAGGATAAGCAACTTAATTTCTCGCATTGAGGGTCATTTAACTTATAGATTAGTTACGTGAAGATTCTAATGTATGAATTATTATATGGTAAGCAATATTATAAGTAAAGGATTAGCGTACCGAGTAATAATGTAGGAATCGCCAATGTACATGAATTGTTATGGTGCAACAATTGTTAACTTTAAATGAATCACCGTATATTATTGATTATTCCGACGTAAGACATATGATGATATATCTTCGGAACTGGTTCTCTGATATCACAAAATGGTTTGATCCTATTACAAAAAGAAAGTACGCTATATGGATGTTACTTAATTTTCAAAACAATCAGGTTTGTGTGACCCAATAAAGAACATCTTGAGTCATCAATTAGAAGAGCATGCGTCAAAGTGATTTTTATCTCTAAATACTCTTATTCAAGTATTTCTCGTATACTTGTATATCCTATATTCTATCTCGTATAAAATAATACATATTCCCATAAAAGTTACTTGATATTGTTAATGCAGCTCACTGAGTTTCATGATGCAAATCAAATATCGAAAAATGGTCAAATATATCGTTGTACTTTTGAAAATAGTTTAAGAATATCTCCCGTTATACTATTTGGTTATTTGAGTCCCTACCGTTATACTATGGTTCAACAATACCCCTCAATTGGATGGACCGTCACGTGGCTTCCCTAAATTAAAATGGCCCAACCATTGTTTTCCCCCGATTCATTTAGCTATTAACCTGTA